GATTGTATATTGACATATTGCTTTCCTACGTTATCGCAATAACAAGTCTTCGAATAATGTATTGATTCACGGGAAAACGGCTAAAATTACCGATTTTGGGACATCTGAAAAATTATTACTGCAAAAGACTTGCTCAAACCACCAAGGCACTCAAGCATATCTTGATCCTAAATGCTTCGATGGCAATGATAGCATACGTGATGAAAAATCCGACATTTTTAGCTTCGGGATTGTTTTATGGGAAATATCCAGTAGAAAATATCCATGCAGTGAACTGGACAGTATATCAGATATTAAGCTTTATAGGCTGAGAGGTGGACGCCATGATGTAGTTCCAGGCACCCCAGAGGAGTATAAAATTTTATATACAGAATGCTGGGATAGTGATTCAGAGAAAAGACACACTGGCGACCAATGTTATCATAGATTAAAAAATATAATGAGAAGCCTGAACCAAGTACAAGTACCAAAGCTTGACATAACAATAAACCAAGATGAAGAGAAAATCAGTGATCATTCTCTTTCTCATAAGCTGTCAGAATTATACAATGAATTTCAATTTAAAGGGAAATCAATGAAACAAATAGCTGGTCTTATGAAAAATTGGTTGATCCAAAATAGTCATAATAATAGCCAAGAAAGTGCATTGACTACACTAAAGGCTCATACTGACTGTGAACAATGCTTTTGCCTAATTGGGTTTTTTTATGCACATGGAATAGAAACAGAAACAGATCTTGGACAGGCCATTCAATGGTATCAGCAATCAGCAAAGATGGGAAATGCTACAGCACAATATAACCTTGGTCATTGCTATGAATGTGGAACAGGATTGGAAGAGAATGTTCAAAAAGCAATTGAGCTGTATCAGAAAGCAGCTGACCAAGGATATGCTATGGCACAAAGTGCTCTTGGTATTGTCTATGTAAGTGGTATTGGAGTGGAAAAGAATGTTCAAAAAGCAGTTGAGTTGTTTCAGAAAGCAGCTGCACAAGGACATGCTGTGGCACAATGTTATCTTGGTGTTTGCTATGAGAATGGGACAGGAGTGGAAAAGAATATTCAAAAAGCAGTTGAGCTGTATCAAAAAGCAGCTGAACAAGGATATGATGGAGCACAATATAAATTTGGTTTCTGCTATGAGAATGGGATTGTTGTGGAAAAGAATTATCAAAAAGCAGTTGAATTGTTTCAGAAAGCAGCTGAACAAGAGCATGCTTTAGGCCAATGTAACCTTGGTTACTACTATGAGAATGGAATTGGGGTAGAAAAGAATTTTCAAAAAGCAGTCGAGTTATATCAGAAATCAGCTGAGCAAGGACAGGCCATTGCACAGTATTATCTTGGTATTTGTTATAAGAATGGGACAGGAGTGGAAAAAAATATTCAAAAAACAGTTGAGCTGTATCAGAAAGCAGCTGAAAAAGGACAGCATATGGCACAGTGTTATCTTGGTGTTTGTTATGAGAATGGAACAGGAGTGGAAAAGAATGTTCAAAAAGCAGTTGAGCTGTATGAGAAAGCAGCTGAACAAGGATTTGATGTAGCACAATATAATCTAGGTTATTGCTATGAGAAAGGAATTGGAGTGGAAAAGAATATTGAAAAAGCAGTTGAGTTATATTTGAAAGCAGCTGACCAAGGGAATGATGTAGCACAATATAATCTTCGTATTTGTAGGGCAGGAGTAGGAGCAGAAAAAACGGCTGAACAACCATCTAATATAGCACAATATAATCTTGGTACACAAGTGGAAGCAAATGTTCAAAAAGCAGTTGAGCTGTACCAGAAATCAGCTGAACGTGGATATGCTATGGCACAACATAATCTTGGTTACTGCTATATGAATGGGATTGGAGTGGAAAAAAATATTCAAAAAGCATTTGAACTGATTCACAAAGCAGCTGCACAAGGACTGGCTTTGGCACAATGTTATCTTGGTATTTGCTATAGGAATGGTATTGGAGTGGAAAGGAATATCCAAAAAGCAGTTGAGCTGTATCAAAAAGCTGCTGAACAAGGACACAGTGTAGCACAATATAATCTTGCTTATTGTTATGAGTGTGGAATAGGAGTAGAAAAGGATATTCCAAAAGCAGTTGAGCTATATTCAAAATCAGCTGACCAAGGACATGCTATAGCACAATGTGCTCTTGGTAATGGTTATATGAATGGTTTTGGAGTGGAAAAGAATGTCCAAAAAGCAGTTGAGTTGTTTCAAAAAGCAGCTGAACAAGGACATGAGGTAGCACAATATCAGCTTAGTTCTTGTTATATGAATGGGATTGGAGTAGAAAAAAATGTTCAAAAAGCATTAGAGCTGTGTCAAAAATCAGCTGATCAAGGATATGCCATGGCACAATGTAGTCTTGGTTATCTCTTACTCATGAATAATAAATGAGTAATTGAAAGGCTTGAGAATATTAATATAGCTGTTCTCTAAATTTGTCTTTGTATAGACTATTTCACCATTACCAGATCCAATCCCCTTAATTACCAAGGTACATATGTGGAGTGTCTTATTCTTGCCCAATAGTTCACATACATATTACTTTCACATTGATATATTGAGTAATGAAATCAGTATTCCACAACTCTTAATCTATGTGATCAAAGAAAATTAGTTAGATGTGTTTTACATCCATTACATGTTACACAGTAAGAGTTCTGTTACCTTTGAACATATTTTAAATAAAATTGGTAATTATATCTCCAACTGAATGTTTCATCTTCTTGACTGACAACATAATTTCTGTTTTATGAGTCTCATTCAAAGCAGTGTATAAACAGCTTTAGCGGTCCCACCGTAGTTGTATCAATAAAGGACCACTAAATCAGAGCAGTATATATTGAATTCGATTATACTATGTGGGAGGGCTGCTCCAAGAAGGCGATGACAAAAAGTTTAATTGCATCAAAGTGACAATGCTCACTATTACTAAATTAACGTATCGACGAATACTTTTTGTTTTGTAGGTGAGTATGAGTGTAGTAATAACATCACCGTATACAGTCGTATAAATATAGTAATAGTAACCATGTTGCGTGATTGATGTGAGGTGATAAGACGAGTAGTATACCGGATGTTCCGCCACAATGATAAGGCAATGGGTTGGGTACTACGATTTATGTGGCGTGGTGAAGAATTTCTTTGATACACTCGACTGTGGCGTGATGAAAAATTAATGTAACGTTGATATAATTAATTGTTCTACGCAATTATTCTACATTACTAAAACATGAACTAGTACCATTTAATTTTAAAACTTATAAATAGTCGTACTGTCCTTTATTCAAAAAAGAAAGAAAGAAAGAGAGAGAGAAGAAAAAAAAAGAAAAAGAAAAAGAAAAAAAGAAACTTATAGATCGATTTCTAATAAACACACATATTACTTAATTAATTATACCCTTAGTTTCTCATAAAATTTCTTTAATTAACAATCAATGCCAGCGTTTACGTCATTGATGGTATATATTATCGGAGAAAGTATAGAGCAGTTTAATTACGAAATACAAAGAGGAATAGGATACCTGATGGAGAGCCGCAACGTATTCGCTTTACGTACTTTATTCCTGAACCAGAAACAAGGGCTCATAGAAGCGACGAATGTATTGAATCATTGACTGGCGGTGCATTACAGACGAATCTTGTCTATGGAAAATTTTCCTATTTGCTTAACGATAACTCCCTTGACATGGTAATTTTCTCTTGCGTGCTACTTCCGATCGGCAGCGCAGATTACCCTGCCCTAAAGCACCGATGGTCACCAAATTTATCGGAAAAATTACGAACGCACCTCTCTTCTGTCACTAATACTTGGGCAGTGTAGCGTAACGCTTATCAATAATATTAGTATACACGCAAATGTAATAATCGACACGTTTTTAAAAAAGAATTCCATTTTCTTTTTCTGAATCTTTAATGTGCCAGTTTTTAATGGTAGGGCACAGAATTCCAATAATGTAATACTTTGTTCATTAACAGTTTGATAGTTTACCTTATACTGCTTTTCAAAAAAGATGCGTCAGCAAAACGAAGAATAAATTAAAAAACAAATTATTGGTCAGAAACGAGTCTTATTATTACCTATTTTGAGTACACATTCAGGGTCTTAAAGATATAATGCTTTTGCCACTTCACTTCCATAAATACAACCTTCCGTTTTCTGCAATGCAACTGAATTTGCGAATTTCCATTCGTATTCTAGTGGACTTATTTTCCTAAATGCAATTCATGTAATTTACTTAATGTATTTGTTACGGAAAAATAATCAAAACAAGGTACATTTGTTTCACGTACTGCAATACCAAGTCATCAACATTATTGTTTTGAGTTTTATAGGTGACAATTTTGACGCAGAAAAGTTTTAATTGATTATCACTGTTATAGACTACTTGTGCAAAGAAATGATTTTTTCAATGGCTGAGTTTAAAAATTATTTGTTTTATTTTACAAATAGCTTTGAACTAGCGGGAAGAGCTCCAATTGTTTAACGTAGATGTTTAATGACAAACCAGTATTACACAATTCCCAGTTAACTATATTAATAACCAAAAATTTTATCTGTTTAGTCGACGCAAATAGTTGAAATATTTTTCCTCACAGGAAAAATTTCCACAAGTGCAAAAATCTCGTAAATGCGATGTAGCACTTATGGAGGTTTTATTGTACGAACGTATTTACTATAAATAGGATCACAAGGTATTTTTCTAAGCATATATGAATACGTAACTTTTTGGCACGTCATTACTTATACTGTCAATTAATTTGTTCAGAAATTCCGTGAAAAAAAGTGTAACTGTTGGCATACAACAAAAAAAGCGATTGGATTCTGCAGGCCAAGACGCGATAATTCCGTTGTATAAAATATGCAATAATTGTTCCGAATGACTAAAGGAAAAAAAGCGAATATATATATATAAAGTCAGCAGAAAAACAAAAGCGTAATATTATCTCGAAACAGCAGTTTATCCAGCACATCACAGATCTTCCAGATTTTCTAATATCTCGCAAACGTGGCAGCACAGTTTCGGAGCCAATCAATTCTAGATCGATTATCGAACAAAATTGCCCTACGTCGAACAAATATAAATTTCATAGTATTAATACAAAAGCACTTTTAAAATTATATGAGTGTTTAAATTCTTTGTTGTAAAGTTATGAGTCACTTATGAGTAGATATTGTAGCAGAATGCAAGCATCGTTGATCTCCAGTGTTGTCTGCTTACACTCGGAGCATTATTCAGTTAGATACACTGATTACTTGCATGCGTTTGGGACAAAGGAATTCTTCGTCTACCCAATTTCTTTGCAAAACTTATAATACTCAAAATTTTCACATTACGAAATACCTACCTTACCGCTAGTAGTTTTGTCTTTTGGGAGAGTTTCAGTACCAGCATATTCAAAACTGCTTTCATAACAGATCCAGATGTGATAAGAGAGTACAAAAAGACTTCAACGCAGTAACGGCCTAAGTTACGTATAATGCAATCCTAGTTTTATTAGAATTTTGGAGCAAGAAAAGTTGAGGGTAGACATCGTTTTTTAAAAACTTTGATATTTTATATTGTTTACCAGCAAAATGTTGTATACTGTAGTAGTTAATTAAACAACAGCCTCTGTACAGAGCTGATGCTCAGAATGCTTATGTCTCGACGGCGAGAAAAGATTGCGTTATTTAATCGTTGATTGCGAATTAATATCTATTAGCGATGAAATAAAATCTAACTTATTTAATTATGAATAAGCCAACGTAATAAGTAAGTCAATGTTATTTGGTAAACGCCTTTATATCGCCACAGCATCAGTTGTGTTTAATTCGTAGACATCTCATCAAGTATATCATAGTGTCTAATATTGATTTGTCTAATTATTCATAGCGATAATACGACTGCTCTCGCAAAAACTAGTAAGTCTTACCAAATTGTCAATATTCATTTATGGTATTTTATTCACACGATCGGTTGTATTATAAATTCAAACTCAAATTCCAACCGTTGAAAAGGCACAAACTTTGGGTTTGAACGTTTACTAGACCAGGAAAGTTACTTTTTCGTATGTTGAAATTTTGATACAGAAAAAGTTTAATTAGTCGTTCTAAAGTTTCTTGAATTTCTTACTTTGTATTGAGACACATGACATATGTTTGAGACATGCATTAGTATTGATCTTTACATTAGTCAGTATTATTGTTATAATACGTGATATATAATGTTTATTAATTCCATTGACACCTCAAAATAGTATATGACAATAATTACGAATCATTTGATTGAAATTTTCATAGTTGTGATATTACTATTTGTGAAGGGGGAGAGAATAATAATAAATAATTTCACCTCTGCCGTATATCGATATTAAATAGCTCGGTTGGCTATATGTGAAGTTTATTGGTCAGCTCGGTTGTATAATAAATCTGTGGAACCCATATTTGGAAATTTCGGAATTGTCCGATCATGAAGATCTTAATAAGATTTAGAAAAGAATATTAATAAATGGAATGTTCCAAGTTTATTTATACGCCATATTTAGAGGTCATGTTACTAGAGAGCAAAGAAATACGTAGCAATTTTTATTATACACAGTAAAATATGCGATCAAATCTATGTTGTTCCAGTCGTTTGTATTCGCTGATCACTTTACATGTAGTGTTACAACTTTATGAAAAACCTCTGTCTAGGCTTCTTGAGTGAGCACCTCGTCTATAGTTAGCAAAAAGTTATAGTAGCTTGTAATGTAATTCATTTGCTTGTAACAAACGCTCCCTGCTCGCTGAGCGCACACCACGACTTTGGTAACATCAAGATAAATTTAATTTCACCAACTTTTGCTCTCTTGTTTCTACTGGTAAGTAAACTAGTTTTTTAACTTGGGTAATGACGAGTGTGTGACATAAGGTTATGACAGGTACTACTGATATAAAAATATTCACTATATCTGGATTGTTGTTTACCTCAATCGGCTATTCTTTGTATTGATCTTTGTTATTTTGCGTGAGTGTAACGTTAAGTGATGAGAAGCGTCTTCACGCTAAAAAAGTATATGAAATTTGATGCAAAATGTATAGAATGTACGTTGGAAATCAAATAAATACATATAATAAAGTATATACAACATAATATCATTTAGCAACTTGGACGACAGCTTTTGGGGTGCAAAGTTTTATTTGTGAACATGTATATTAACGCAGCGTATTACTGTAATTTACAAACTTAAACTCGCACACAAGTCGAGAATCGCTAAAATGTTTCAAAATTGTTTATATTTACACCCGTTGGCTTTGTTCATCATTGTAATAAAGTCTGTTCTAGTTTGGTCATTAAAAGGGTTATACAGCAGCTTGACTATTACTCTCATCACAAACGGGACATTAATTTGCAAAATATTGAGCCCGTAAATTTATAATATTATAATAACAGTGGTAATGTTACATAAAATATATGGTCGCAATGGTAGAAGGAGAAAATTACCGGAGTCGAGCTTTTCGATAATTTGATTTTGTACGTCAAAACTGTTATGTAAACCTGACGTTATAACTACTTTTTTACGCATCTAAATAGATGGTGAGACTAAACAACAGAATATGTGGTAGTAAAAAACGAATACTTTTTACCAGTTAACAGCTTTAAACAATAGAACAGTACGTTCTATAGAATTGGAAATTTAAATTTAGGCTCTTTCCATAATTTTTGATCGATCTTGTGGAGACAAATTAATTTGTTGGATACCGACTTGCAGATTTGTCTCCAAACCTGCTGCACAAGGTTCTGCTGACTATCAGGCATATTTAATATAATATTTTCCACAATTATTTGTAAGCATGAGAATAGTTGCATACTACACATCAATGAAGGCTTGCAATCGTGTGTCGCAATTTGCATAACACTGATTTGTATCCAGCAAGTTAATAGTTGTTGGGCTTAGAAATGGTTTAAATAGTTCGGAGCAGTAATATACGTATTGACAGTACATTTATGCGTTTAATTCTATGGAGTTATCAAAACAAATGTTTAAGCAAAAGTTTATCATTGCTGAGTTTGCAATAAGCTTAGACTAAAAACGTATGTGATACAATTAAGTTTTGTGAAGAATCCACATTTTCGTTAGACTGCGGCCAATGCAAAATTGAATGAAATAACTGCGGCGGTATGTTAACGCAGCGCTTTAAAAAACTGCTAATTTGGAATGAGTCATAATGACTAATAATGATTTCCAGAAAGTGATAAAATTAACCAGCGGATGCGCAGCACGATAAAACCATAAAATTAAATAGTTAGTTAGTGCAAATGTGTACGTCTTTATGTCTGTTTCATACGTGTTATAAAGACAACGTTTACTGTTATTAGTGCCCTGATTAGAGACTTTACTATCACACAATGTTGATTCTTGAGACACAAATCAATAACGATGAGTCGAATGATATCAAATGTCTCTACTCCAGACAGTATTGTTGAATTTATGCTAATAGGCGTACTTGATTTTATTGTACCAGATTAAGAGAGAACGCACTGTTGTAATTGTTGTTGCGCGAATACTTATGAATACAATTTTATAATGTCTTTAATGCTACATATGAAATTATTATTACAGACTCGAAGGTTATCTCTCCGAAAAATGGTTCTATTATCGAAAACATTTTGCCTAGATACGGTTTAATCTCGTATATTTATGCAGAGTACATTGTAAATTAAACCATCGTTTTTATTTAACCGTTTATGGCTGATGCTTGCAAAGTAAAAATAAGAAAAACCATGCAGTTTTTTTTAAAACTCCCTCTCTATTTGATAATAATTTCGGCTTACGTAAAATTTGATTTCGTTCCATTATCTGAAATTCTAAAAAGTAATAGCTCGAATATTGTGATTTGTTTATAATTTGCAAGGCAATCCGATTTTTAGCAATTTAATTATATTTAAATAACAAATTTTGAAACGCAAGTCACAAGTCAGTTATTTCTTCCAGGCAAAAAGTAATGCTCCCCTTACGCTTCAGTTTTCAAGCGTCACATTGAAAGTGCGGGTTTTTCGGTCTGAGTGTGTCCCCTAATGAATAATTATAGCTGGGCCCATTTGGTAGGTCAGTCTTTGAATTAGAATGGATCACAGTCTATCACCTTTCGTGGGGTTGAGTTTCGGAGAATGGCTGCAATATGCCCGAACCAGGTTTGTTAGTTGCTATTACTAACCGTTTAGTCAGCGTATTAACAGAAGGCCGAACGTAACGACGACGATATTTTGTGCAGCAGTCAAACCGGATTTTTTCTGGAGGGGGTTGAAACATGATGAAAAATGTTATCTTCTTTGTTTAAAGTTAAATTTTGTACGCTATAATACAGGTTTAAAGAATATTACTATACATTGAATCCACTAAATAACTATCCAGCTTCAATCACTATTGATTATCTTATGATCATTCGGCGGCAACAATTTTAATAAGATTATGTTTACCTTATTCGGTTGTGCGACTTTTAAGGACATGACCGAGTTTTACGGCAGTCACCATGATTGTATGTTGTAATAAAGTATTACTTACAAACTGTTGTTGCCAGGTTAGAAAGTAACCGTCAATAGTCTTGTTTAAAGAAAGTTTTTTACTTATCGTAATATAGAACGCAATATTTTGATCAATAGATAATATTGGGATACATATTTTAGTTTAGAGTTCATGATGTAAGACAGATAATGGATTATGCAATCACAATGAATCTGCAAAAAGAAAGAAGATGCTTTACTTGGTCTGTTGTGTCTGGATGCTATGCAGTGAAAATCACTCGGTCACCCCCAGCCATTGGAAAACCCGGTCTTGAAAATTCCGGCATATACAGTGGCCGATATAAAGAGGTTTAGTTTTAGCTTTACATTATCTCATAATGAGTTCGAGTTGATAAAACTAGCAACAATTTGATTGTGCTGCGTGGATTATATTACGTTAACGATTTTGAATGTGATAGGCAGCTATAAATATGGGATCGAAAAAGGACATGTTTAACCATGGAAATACCTTTGCAGGGGAAAAAAATGTTATGTGTTCAATGAACTCAATGACTGCAAACCGACAAATTTGGCCATAAGAAACTTTGAATGAAACGGCCCGCATTTGGTATATGTGATCGACCCCTGCTTCACTTTTTTACCTGCTCAGTATTTATTGGCCCACTTTAATGTTATTGTTGCTACTGCTACTTGCAAAACACAATACTAAAGTTACGTATTACATAGCCTAACCCTTTGTTCAGCGATAATCTCAAGGCACAAAACTTTGTTCGTTTCCTTTGTTTGTTTCAGGATGTGGCTGGTTACTGTTACCTAATTTAACCGATATTTGTAACAAGTCTGTATACCGTGGAACGTTCACATTATGTGTGTGTAGAATGCTAGCGGTCTTTGATTTCCGTTAGAACCGTACCGATAATAATATTCAACTTGAAATGCCGTTCGGTCTTTTAGTTCCGCTTCTTTCAATCTCTACATGGGTTTCCCCCCCCCCCCAACCCACAAGAGTCTTTTTCAGTGTTTATGCTCTCTTTAGTTTTTGGGAATTAATATCAATGTAGTTAGCAAGTAACCTAACCGGTATCAAGGATGTGCGCGCAACACTAACAGCACATGATGTCAGATCTGTCCAGAATTGTAACGCAAAGGATGAAGCAAAAAAATATAAATTTGATTTTCAAGCTGCAAGTGCTTGTTCCCTCGTTCATTATCCAAGCGTGGGTCGATTTATCATGCATATTCGAATACCTCGCCCGGAGCGGGGATTCTCCTCACTCCTTTTTTCAATCATTTTCATCATGTTCGTTCTTCCCTTGCTCATAATTCCGCCCACAGAAGCACAGTCCAAGCTTACATATAATGAGCCAACCACAGGACTCGCAATAGCTGATGCTACCGCTGATTCCGACGGGACAACGATAGTCTGTCTCAAAAGACTTGTAGATACACAATGTTATTATTATCTAAGAGTCTTCTTCCCGAACAACACCATAATCACACCGACCTTTCAACTCCCTCTTGACGTTTCCAATTGCGTTAAAATTCAAATGACCGTGTTGACAAAGGGATTGTTGTATTTGACTTACCTGAGACAAATCGGAAACTCTAGTTTTGAGCAATATGGAATTCCCGTCGCTTATAACGGGACATTAGGGGTGCCGACATTATTAGCAAATCTTAACGATACACATTCTGGTCGCATTTTCAAAAGTATGGCGCCCGAAGACTCTGGTTTTCTCTTTGTACAACCAGTGGCTAACGCCATAATTTGGCAACGATATTCCATTGAGTAAGTCCCCTTAATTAAATTAACTTAATGTCAATCTGTAGATCGTAGATCACACGTATGCTAAACTAATAATGCTTTCAGTACCAAAGTTGGGGTTGCTGAGCGTTCTGCCAACGGTACCTTTGCTCCTAGGAACGGTTCCCAGATACGAGATTTTAGAATATTTAGCACGGTTAACGGCGGTTTCAGTTGTGTGTTCTCTACAGAGACTCTGAACGAGTACGGTGCACAAATCGACAACGAGGCACGGTTGGAACTAGAAATAGTGTTTTTCGATCCAGGCTCCATTCAAGTTACCAAACCCACTACTATATACACGGGCCCATTAGGTATAGACAAAATAACCCTTGGCGACTGTGGTTTGTCGTTTAACGGATGCAGTTACTCTTGCCTGTTGTTGATTTCGACGGGTCGGAATCAGATACTGCATCAAGTGAATTTCCATTCGACTCGACCTGGAGCTAACAACGTCGACTTGCAAACTGCTTCCGATGATATCGTTGGTGTTGACAAAATAAGATCTTTGTTCAACGGAGGATACTTGTTACTTTATCATTTTGTAAAAAACGGCCAGACGTTTATCAAAAGAGCAAAAATGATTGATCCAGAAGGTCAATCAGTACAAACGATACCGCTCGCTAAACCGGTGAAAATGATACACGTCTATCCAAGAAACAACACCATCTGGTATTGGGAGAGTAACTCGGCGCAATCTTGGTCCATTGTATCTTATAATCCCAAATATATGAATGACGGTATGTATTAATGATGGTTTCAAGAAAAAAAAAACGGGATCTTTTAAAATCAGTACCAACTAAAACCGCTATTCATCCCCATGCTTCAGATAATAACTACCAAAGCCCAAACGTAAATACAACTACACCTCCAATTGGCGGTGAAATTGCAACTCGCAGTACCACTATAAACATTACGTACAACGTACCGGTCAAACCAGCGGCGGGGAACGTTACGATATATGCGACTGATGGTGTAAATAAATACTTCCGTCAGTCATATTCGCCAATTTTTTCCCAATACAGTCAATCGGACGAGAGCAACCAAACGCTGACTTTGGATGTATTGACCAGCACTTTCAATCAACCAAACATGACTTATTTCGTGACATTGGACAACGGATTTGTAGAGTCGATGGAAGATAGCGAGCCGATTCTTGGAATTTCTGACGGGAAATGGAAATTTCGGACAGGTAATACATTCACACCTGATATTTCAGTTTTTGAAATGGCTTTTTTTTTTCCCCTAATCTTTTTTTTTTTTTTTTTACTTTTTTATAGCTTCAACACCGCCCAACAATGTCTACGTACCCTCTGAGACGATATCCGTCTGCCTAAATTCTATGGGCACTTCTCGCTTTCTAAAGTTTTCCAAGTCTGAACGATCGGCATTTGTTTCTTCACTCAGCAACACGCTCGCATCTTTTGTTCCGATATCTCCTTCACGGTTATCGATCTCTGAGAAATTTCAGATGGAATCTTACAATGGCAAGAAACAGACGTTGCTGTTGATTCAAGTTGGTGCTGCCACAAGTGATACGGAAATGGATGCAAAGTCGGTGATTGATGACTTGACAGTCTTGATCAAGAACAAGGGCATTACGGCGGTTTCTCGATTCCCGGAAACCATGTTAATAGACGAAGAATTCGGTGTCCGTATTGAACGTGAGTGTTGTGACAATTGGCAGTAATGGTTTGGGTTGGTTTGGTGATTGAAGGAATGTGTAATTGGCGTGTCTGTTTGCATGTTACTTATTAATTTCGATACGTCTCCTTTACAGCCAACTTTTGGAATAAATATAAACTAAAAATAATAGTTGCTGCTGTTATAATGCTACTGGTTGGGCTACTTTATCTTTTGGCGCGTCGTCTTAACCCAGAGGTGAGCATATCTTGAATGTGTCAGGAACACGAACTAGATTGTTGGAAACCATGTCTTTTGCTCATTCCCGTTAAATTTGTTCATTTCCGTTAATTTTGTTTTAGGCCAATAATGCAGCCATTTTCACTCTCGTATTGGCATTGTATGATTTTGCTATCGACTTTGCGTTCATTGTACGAAATGGTCAAGATGTTCGACCATTATACCTACCAAGGTATGAAATGTTCAAAGTAGTTCATCTCTAACGTAACGTTGTCTCGCTTACCCAAAATTCTAACACTCGATTTATACCTTCTAGCATTCTTATTTTCGTGTTTTCAATACTTTTTAACACAACAATCGCTCTCTACATCATGATCACTGAGAATATGCAGTCATATAAATTCCATATTTGGACCCAATCGTGCGCAAAGGGTGCTGCCGTCTTTACCGTCCTATCCGCCGCAAACATTGAAGTCTTGACCATGACCAACAGTAAATTGTATAAATCAGATTATTTTTCCGCGCCCCTCAGTGAGCAAAGCTTAAAGATAATCTTTTGGGCGAGCACTGCAAGTTTTTTCTTGGAAGATGTGATGCAGTTCATTATCCAGGTGAGTAGAATTGTTGATAATAGCTTGCGCGCGCGCAAATGAGAAAATTAAATGTCATAATTAACGTGTCCAATTCAAATAATGTAACAGATTATTTACCATAACAAAAGTTTCATCGACGATATTGTCCCACTCTTAACTCTTTTCTCTTCGTCAGTAATGCTCACGGTTAACCTAATTAGTCGCATGTACTACGGAATCACTCTGATACGTACTCGCAAGGATGACGTTATGCTTTCGGATGAATCTGTTTCTGGAAAAACTGCGGCAAGAGACTCGTCTAAAATCTTTAGAATAATGAAAAATGAACTTAATTACCGTAGAATGAAATAGATGTAATTCTTTATAGAATAATCGCATTCGAATCAGAGAGATCGAAGGCAATAAATGTGTAAATAAATTAATCGATATCAATGCTCTTTGAAAATTACAAAAGTTCCTCTTTTTTTTTTTTTCGCACCATGCTTGTTGGGTCATTGATAAAGCGTGCGCGGTTGAAATTGCTCCCTGATAATCAAAGAATAACACTGGCGGGCACTATGGAATTGGTGAACTACGTTTCCATAATCGGACATTGAAGAGTCTTGTTTGGTTAGCTTTATGCGTTAAATGCAGGTTCGATCTACAGTACATTAGTGTGTGTGACACGCGTTTGTATGTAACACTCGATACTGATATTGAACAGTTCTATTTTTTTAAATACTCACAATCGGTTTTTAGAAAGAACTTGTCTATCGTATGTTTTTGCCTCAATTCTGCCATAACCTTTAATGATAAGCACACAAAATATTAAATTTTGACTGAAGAGAATTTTCTTTTCAACAAACCCCTGCTGGGACATGCCCCATTACATTAACAGGGGGAACATGTCCCATTGAATTAACAGGGGGGACATGTCCCATTGAATTAACAGGGGGAACATGTCCCATTGCATTAACAGAGGAAACATGCTCCATTGAATTAAAAGGAGGGACATCTGCATCGACAGTGCCCGAATTCTGAGAATATTCGATCTTGAAAGACGTTAAAACCAAAATTATAATAAGAGTTATGGTCGCACCACCAATTGAATAAGTAAGCCAAAGCACCACCACATGGACTGGTATGAACAAAACTCTCAACAGATTCAACACAAATAACAACGAATTGTGTGAATCAAATGTAGTCACACAGCGATGATATATCAATTGAATCACAACAAAAATAACTAGTATCCCTCCAACTATCAATTGTATACGCATGATTGTATCACTGTCTAAAGGCGGCGTCGGCGTTGTCGTCGTCGTCGTCATCGTCGTCGTCATTGTCATCGTCGTCGGGAGCCATGCAGACACCAAGTAACCAATCTACAAAGTTAAATATATAGCGTTAGAAAGTAAATGTAATAGATATATATATGACATTAAAATGTAAACTTACTCCAGACACCCAAAGAATAATCAGCAAAATTATGCCAACAATAACATGGCCATTAGTAAGTCGTGTACGCTTTAGTGTATATGATATCAATGTCAATATCATCAATATCATCAATTCGTAAGCTGTCATCATAGCATTTTCCTCAGCAGCACCAGTGATGTAAATTACAGAGGTGTAAGATTGAGGATCATAATTATCATAAAAATTTAGTGGGTTATTCAACAGCTTGATTGTTGATATAGCAAAGGTTAGAGCCATGCCATTAATTAAAAGTTTAAAGATAGATAGACTAATGTCTTGTTTCTTTATGATATAGAAGGTCGTGAGCCCTGCGCCGATAACAGCAAACTAATAAAATTAATATAATTGTGAAATTAATACATATTCTCGTTGAAAAGCGATCAACTTGCTATTGACTTACCGTTGCTATTGCTTTTGCACAGTTGAGCTCTGTGCCTAGTTCTGGGTCGGTCATTTTTGCAGTAAAGAACTCATTTCTGCGTTTTCGTCTTTGTCGGTTTAAATACTGCAAAGTGCGTTTACACGTATGCAACACTCGATTGCTCTGTGTGACTTTAACGTAACAATGTTATGCAAAGTTACATGGGCATGGTCGATCAAACAGACGCACTCCGTAATTTCCACTCGGTGTTACAAATTGCACAGTGAAACTATCGGCAGTACAACACATTCAGCTCATCGTTATTCAATTAATTGTTTGTTGTAATTCTTGCATTTTAGAATAATTGAACAAGACTTTGAGTTAAGGGCTTTACCATTTTTACTCTAGAGCTTGAATCTTAACAGTGGCTTGTCTTGTGGTTCACTCTAATAACTCAATGATTGGGAAAGTTTTTATTGTTGAAATGGATATCCTAATTTACGTAATTATGCAAGTGTTAAAAGGTACCAGAGAGTTGGTCAGTCATAATGAAATTGAAATTGTAAAAGCAAGTTTTGTATTCTGCTTCAATTTGTCTTATAATTATGTCAATTTGTGTCTGCTTAGGCTGCTGCATGTATTATAAGCTATAATATTACAGTGATATCATCTACGATGTGTTGCGTTCCATTAAATTTGATCTATTTCTATTTATTGTTGCAATGTTGCGAGTAATGGCAATTGGTCAACGTTTCTTATAATTGCCATATACAGCAACCATACAGTATATTAACGATAAGTACAACGTAAGTTGCCTTTTTATGGTTTCTTTATTCCTTATTCGCTCTGTCAGCACTTTATTTTATAGTTTAGAAAGAAATATACGCTTTACCAGTAGGGCGATTGTGGTACGGAATGCGTAACAGTACGGCGGTACCTCCTCACTCTCCACCTTAAGGTAACCAACGTTTTTTATAAATTTTTGTCTTTTGGTCCTTTTAAATGCACACATTTCTCTACTTGCTAACTCATTCGACTAACTAAATACCCACATATTATAACATTAAAATTTCACTATTGCAACTTTAGCCAACGTTCAAAATAAAACAAACAACTTTTATTGAAAAAAGAATGTAAGTTTCATTATTTATTTTTTCATAATAACAAAAATTTTTGAATTCATTTTTTGATATTTCTTATTCGCATTATCCTATTCGTATTACTCATAAAGATATCGATACATAGAAAGCTATTTCCACTACTAACTGTCGTGGGAAAACTTTATCCGCTCGTTAAAACGCCCGTTTAGACTATTTTTATCTCTCCCACCCGCTACTAACTTTATCTTGATTATGGCGATCGTTACGCTCACATTATTGACTTTCGCTTTAGATAAATGTGTTACTGTTCATTTCAAACACTTGTCACTTGCACAGTCAATTTATCCACTAATTTTATCTTGTGCTTTGATATTATTGTTTTGGTGATTTGCCTAATACTAACTTAATTTGTCGGTTTTCCTTAACTAACCATCAATCTTTTGTTTATGTATGCGAAAAATTCTAGACTTTGTTTCGTGCTACACTCGCTTCGTACGTTTTCGTCGTCTATTAGCAGGCAGTCGCCGTCTTCAAAAATTGCACCGTTATGTTACTTTTTTTACCCTTATTAAGCCCAGCCACAACAATTTGGCCTTGCCAAATTGGCGTAAACGCTTTCCTGTTCTCTATTCATAACTTGTCTGTTGTTCTATCATGCCACTTCTCCCACAGCTTTGTCTCAATAAATTCTCTTAACTCAATGAATCTGAGAAGACTATACTTAATTTCTTGAGTTTTCTGTCCCATTAAAAATAACACTCTACCTAATTTTTTTTTCAACCATTGTTAAATATCATTACCAATCCACACAAAATTCAAAAAACTGCTGCTTACATGGATGTAATCCACTTATAATAATTGATTATGCTTTCGCTAAAATACCTCAGTGTATTCACAATGTTCTATATATGCGAAACTAAAGTATCTTTCTCAAGCAGTCTAGGTCATTCAAACCTCTTTGTTGAATATCGCTCACTCACTGGGCAGATGGTTATTCTAAAAACAGAAAAATATTAATCCTTTATTCAGGGCTTTTTGAATAATGTAGATTGTGCCGCATCGTTATTAAGTGCTGTTCACCATGTGTAATACATGGTAATAGAGTGACATTGGTGCAAGGTTACTATTAGTGATTTTACAATTTTTGTGGTACTCTACTTTGCAGCGTTAATAATACATGACTCTTTAAAATCATCATCAATTTTATTGAATTAACTCTTTGTCCTTTTCCAGCATTAGTAATATTTCAGACTTGTCTGCCAACAAAGATAACAACTTGGCCCTTTTCCCGCTGCTCATCTAAAAAGTAAAAAATAGTGTTCACCATTGTTATTCTCTAAACCAATTGGTCTGGGGTGTTTATCGGAAATTATCCATTTTTGGATGGTTGACAATATAGACATGTTTCTAACGATATACAGTACAAGCAAGCTTGTCGTTGTGAGATTGCCAGTGTGAACTACTCACTGGCCAAAAGCATTTGCCGAAATCTGTCGAGCGATAGTAAAACATGTGAAAAATATATGGGTGTCCTTAACTTACACCTCGGTGTACGATTATTTGCGTACACCCATAATAAACTTAGTAATGGCGCACGTTTATCGGCAGAAATACAGTAGTTTTATTTCATCAACTCCGACTCTCATTGGACGGCACGCCAGTGGCGCAAACATGTGCTTATCCCTACCAAATATGTTCATTTCCCAATTATTTCCGACATGGTAAAAAAAAGTGCAGGCATGTGACTATGGGTATTCTTAGTTATTTTTATACGTATACTTCATATGCCATAAAAGAATTTGGTTTTTTTAATCGTTAATGGAACTCTTTATATTGTAGCGATTCCGCATTAATAATACGATATTTCATAATCTTGCAAATATAATATATTCAAATTGTTAATTCTCTACGATTTCATTAATCGAAAAATCTTCTATCGTTATTTTTATTAATATTAACGTTAATGTTACAGCTATGACTTATTTAATAAACGATTAACATAGCGATAGCAACATATTAACTAGTTTGCTATATCGTATGGTTGATGGAATTGTAAAGAACTTTGATATGTCGTCAATGGTATGATTAAAAAGTTCCTTAATATTGTAATATATGACTGTCACGGCGATAACGCTTAAAAAACCCCGAAGTCATTTATGGCATATACATATAAAAAATGACCAAGTTCTTAATGTATACCCGGGTTTATCGGTTAATGCGGAAGAATATAAGAACATAAGAAACGAATTAGAATACGTAAGTTTATGCGGCAAATGATGACAATGGACGGTTATGTTAATATGAAAATTGTTGCAGTGCGGTTTGGATTTTTCGACAAACGAAGCTTAATGAGAGACATTGTTTAATATATAAGAATATGGCAAAGTTTGTCATCGTTAATAGTAGATTCGCACTAAAGTGGTCGAACCCGTTATAATTTGTAGTAGTTCTGTACTAGGGTGGCAATATTAATAGCGTAAATTAAATAAGAATCATGTTGTCAAATACTTTGCTTCTTGTTAATGTTACTAACGCTTACTAAGATTGTGTAGGGGAAAAAAAAGGACAGGGTTTCGTTAACGGTTTTCAAAGGGAAAAACAAAAAAGACGTTTGATCAATTTCTTTGTTTTTGAATATTGACAAATATGCACCATTAATGAATATCAATTCACATTACAGAATCTGCGATATTGGATGTCGGTTGCCACACGATTTTTAATGGAATTTGCGTCCTTTTTGGGAAGACTTTCCATGTTGTATAACGAGAGTGAATTTTCGACAAATCGGATAACTCCGCAGTAAATAGCTTGAAAATAAAATGATCGACGATCCTAATTTCATGACATCACATGTAACGTAACGTAACGAAGTTCAATTTTTCAATCTTTCTTGCATACTTAATTCAACCTTCACTTCGATATGGCATCCGCATGGACATCCAGACTGTTTCAGCAGTTAGGGAGCGCGGACTTTCGTAATTATCTGATGAGGTATTCTAGTCGTGTTAAAATGCTGCTATTTAACGATATAGTTTGGTTGATTAACCGTATTGTTGTCGGATAAAACTTGTCGTCTTGATATGATATAGCACGGTACGTTTTTTAAATATCAGGATTAGTCTTTTACTTTCTCACGTATATGAAATAATGCTTGTTGTTCCACATTTCCTCTGGCCGGAATAGCACTTTTGGGGACCAGGTACCAAGAATTAGTTCTTCATCGATTTTGCCAAAACGAAGGTTTCCCAGGGAAATGAATCATAATCACTGATAACAAAATAAAAACGTATACGGGACAGTCGCCAATTGGGGCTTGCCATTAGCAGCAATAGCAGATTTCAAGAAAGACCCGGAATACATATCACCAAAAATGACAGCAGGTATTGGGGGCTGATTTGGTTAACGTTAGCGATAACTTGTCATTTCATAATCTCCCTCTCTCCCCCCTTTCTCTTATTTAAAGCAATGTTGATCTATTCGGCAACGTTTATGCGATTCGCGTGGGTAGTACAGCCAAGGAATCTGCTTCTATTTGCCTGTCATATGACAAATGAAACAGCACAACTCATTCAAATGGGCAGATATATCGAACACTACCAGTAAGTATTCGTTTGTGCACTTTATTTCCAGTTAATAGCATACTTTATCATAGAGCTGCTGATTCTGATTTGTGATCTTTCAGCTTTGGTGGTCATCAAAGACGAGTGACGCAGGAGGCGAAGGTCATCGAGGACAAGGACACCGATGTGAAGGCCTAAGTGTCATTAAAGACAATATGGTATACTATATGTGTGTGCATTAACATTTTGCGTATACGAATTCTATATTAGACTCTATGCATTAAATCGGTTTCTATAATTGTTGCAAGTGTAATTCAAAAGGATCGGGTGAAAAGACAGCTGACACTCTATTCCTCCGAAGCGGCAAGATCTAAAGATATCAACGAGGCATTGATGAGTCATGGATATTCTCAAGATAATACGGCTTCTGAAGTGGCTCACATGACATTTATGCTCTAACCGAAACGAGCATTCTCACTGAATAAACAGACAGGTCAAAATTCACAAAGCTTCATAACGGGTTAATGAATAATGTTGTTAATGAGTATCGTATTTTGCAGTTTTTGCTTTGCAGTTGTTCTTCCCGGTACACATAGGAAATAATATCTTTGATCCCATTACTTAGCCACTCCACTCCAAAGTGGAGTTACGGCCGCCACGCGGCCGCACAGCCCTCCTCGCTTTTCTGATATGAGGAAAGCTATTTGATCCTCAAAATTGACATGCTAGTTGATTTTGTAGATGCTTGGTTTTTCTTGCTAACAGGATATTCTCTCTGTGTTAGCTTCCTGGTCAATGCAATAACCCTTTCCAAGTGCCTTTCTTTCTCGCTGTTGTTATTATCTATAAAAACTACCGTAGAGCGCTGACTAACGTACCCCCCCCCTATGTATAGTACCCTGCGGCAGTTTAGTATTAGGCCGAAAAAATTGTAAAGACCCGGGTATTATACAAATCAAATATTACGTTATCACGTGATGGGTATAAAATACTAATATTAATATATGAATAGTATGCTGGCAACTTTAAAGTCATCACAATAACTTCAAGGAAACGCTTCGTCGCCGAAAGTTTATAGGATTTTATTTGTATAATGAGAGATTTTGCCTAATGTAAGAATATGTGTGCCCCTCACCAGTCATTTTCATAGTTTTCCAACATCTTCGTCTATTTTATCGATCTGTAGCTGTCCGGTTGACTCTTATGGTCGGTATTTTCATTATCCGAATGAATGTCAATGGGATTATACTTCACATCTTCGTTGTTTTCGTGTAAACGTTCGTAGTTAAACAACCACTCTTTTCCTGACTGATCAAGTGAAATTCCACAGCATCTAAATGACTTAATAATAAGATTGACATCAACATCATCCTTCACCCACTTTGCTAAAGTTGAGTAAGATGGTTTGCGAATTTTTCCTGTGTGGGTATCGAATCCGTGTATGCGTTGCATTGTCTTTATTTACATGGAACTTGTTACGTAAACGCTAGGGGGCTGTCAATGTATTACCATGGGTGTACCAAAGTCACCGAGTAAAGTACCCCTCAAAAAAAAGTGAAATGTAAAATACCCGGGGTACTTTAGTCAGCGCTCTATGGTAGATGTCTTTTAGACCACCATATACAACAAATGTTACAATTTGATGTGAACAATACTTAATTGAGAATAATTGACATCATAATTATGAATAAACGACTGTCAAGTTCATCTGGCACTTGTTGTTACTTACCTAAGAATATAACGGAACAACAAATACGCCTGTCACCCATTCGTTTCTCATATACGTACGTATTCTACATTAACAAATTAACAAGGCCCATCCAACACATCGAATAGGCAAAGTTTTCGTGTAACGACTTCTGATACATGAGTCTTGATCACCATCACGATCGTTCACACTACAAGCGCGACGACGGCAAATAAGCTGTATTGCAAACCACGGATATGTAAATTGCAGCAACAAGTTCAAATCGGTGTCCAGAGAATAAAAACACTTGCATGAATCACAATGGCTATTTACATATTGCAAGAAGAGCACAAGTACAAAGGATTTCTTGGTAGTGATTGTGCGAGCGAAAACACTGCTGGAATGAGATTATGGACTAGGCGGACGATAATAACTATATATGTTATTATTATTATATATGTTTAGATTCTTAACAGGTTCTAAGAATAATTTTTATGCGCTCGACGTTCAAATCTTAACAATAAACGTGACGATACAAAGTTTAATTAGTTGTTCTAGGAATTAACTTTGGTCGATTGTTGTTATTACTTGTAGAACCTGGTCGTAAAATCTAGCGCAATTGTCGGTATATGGATGCTGTTAACAATTGACGACGATTTGTGCATAAACTTTTTGTACTATAACACGGGATACCCAACCTTATTAAGCGGCAATTTTTGGAACGTTAACTGATAGTTGTAGACGATTCGTGACCTTAACCCAATATGTCAATAATATATATTTATTTGTTCCAATTCAACATTCTTTCTGGTAAGTTTCTAAAAATTTTATGCATAAACGACGTATCTTCGCCAAGCAGTAGAATTTAATTCTTGCAGGAGTGTCAAATTTTCTGCTTTATCGCATTTCCAGGGTTTCTACCTGTATTCTAGGCATAAAGTATACTATCGCGTCTATTGAAATCTTGCGTAAATAGCACTATCCAGTAGCATTACATTATTGGCCAACCCAACGCATCATCCGGCCGGTGCTCAAACTAAAAATAAGTTATATTGTTTAGGCAAACATGGCTACGTATTTATTTACAAGCTTTAAATAATTAGTCCTCAGTATTTACTTTTAATTAATAATTTTCTTATATTTTCTAATACTCTGCCCGGAAAAGCAGCCAACGGCAAACATGCATGACTTTATTTCAGCGTCTTGTTAACTCATCCGTATTGATATTGACATATGCCGAACGAAGCACATCGTATAATTCGAACCTTTGAATAAAATTCATATAATACTAAACCATAAACCATAAGTTTATTCAAAAAGTTTGAGTTGCTAAAATTATAAAAAATGAAAGTGGTAACATTACAATATGTAAATTGACTTTATTTGTATCAACATGTAACCCGTACCTGCAGCTGATAAGTTCCAATAGGTAAGAGTGTGCTGGAATATTTACTCCCTTTCTCGTGATAATGGCCTTACATCAGTATAATATATAGTATTCCACACGTTGTTACCAAATTCATCCATTTCCACATCTGCAACAATCTTGCGAATATCACTCCAAAGTGTACTTCCATTGTTTGGACGCTTATCAGGATCAGCATCACAACACCGCTCGGCAAGTTTCTTGTATTCGTCTGGCGCAGAATCAGG